TAGCTCTGATCACACACTCAGATGGAAGAAGACCTAAAAACACTCTTCAAGCTCTTAAAGCTGCAAACATTAAATGTGCCAAAGATGAGAAGAATCGGTCTGTTCACTTCCTGTTTAATAACTGCCAGCATGAAGAGCGAATGGAGGAAAACACAATTTTTAAAAATTCATGGGAACTTTCACAAACAAACATGGATCATTTGACAAACTTGTTGGGAAAATTGAATCCTCAAAAACGGATGAAAACAGCCGTAGTGTTAAATGATCGGATAAGACTGAAAGCCTCCATCCAAAACCTGGAAGACAGAATCGAGCTGGCTGAACTGAAACAGACAGAAATCAAACAGATCCGAGAAGCTCTGAAGCAGACGAATCACAGAAATAAAATTGAAATTGAGAAATTATTGAGTCTTTTGGAAAATCTTGAAAAGGAAATGAAAGTGCTGACAGCAGAAAAGCAAAAGTGGCTAAGTGACTCGTACCAGCATGCTGTCAGACTGGAGGAAATCGCTCTGAAAGCTGATTCAGCATCCACTGTTGTCCACTTGGACTTCCTGATTGAGAAGATGAAGGAGGAAGGAGACACAGAGAAGGTCCAGAAACTGGAGGAGATGAGGAGAGAGGATGGAGGAACCAAAGAAGCAGTACAAGCTTAAACGAACACCATCACCAACATTGGGAGACCATTCCCCTGGCATACGTGAAACATGTAAAGAAGCATCAGGCAGATGGTACTGACACTGCTCTAGGCTACATGTTCAGATGCACACAGATGTTGATTGTTGTGTTAAAAAATACTTATTATTAATATACATGTATTTCACACAGATATTTGTACTTATGCACATGACAAATATTACTACATAAACTCCACAGTCAGTTATTATGCAGAGCAGAGCTGGTCTGAGCTGCTAGCTGTGCTGTAAATGCAGTGAGGACGCCCCCTGTTGTTTAATGATTAGTACAACAGTGTGTGAGAACAGCTCCCTGCCTTTCTGATGTCACTATCTCCACAAATACATGTGTTTCTGTCACGTTGTTCTAATGTTGTTCTAAGGTTGTTCTAAGGTTGTTCTAATGTTGTTCTAAGGTTGTTCTAAGGTTGTTCTAATGTTGTTCTAAGGTTGTTCTAAGGTTGCTCTAATGTTGTTCTAATGTTGTTCTAAGGTTTTTCTAATGTTGTTCTAAGGTTGTTCTAAGGTTGTTCTAATGTTGTTCTAAGGTTGTTCTAAGGTTGTTCTAAGGTTGTTCTAAGGTTGTTCTAATGTTATCAGTGTGAGCTTTATCCTGCTGCTCCTCTCATGCTGACTCAGTAAACTGGTTGTGGGACAGTAACGTGTCACTGACACAATCCACATACAGTCCAACATGTTGTTGTCTTTCAGTGAGTGCAGAGGATGTTGGAGACACTGAACTCAGACACAGTGTGGAAATAATCCAACTTTGACTCTTCAGTGTTTCTGAGTCCAGTCCTGAAATCTGATCTTCCAGCTGATCGATGCCTCGGATTTTTCATGTGTTCATGCTGGATACTTGTGATGGATCAGGCCGAGTGGAAACATTTGGATCCTTTCATGTTGGACTTGATCTGTTCAGATTCTCTATATTCGGGTCTTCCTCATGAATCATCTCCTGCTCGATGCACTTTTCTGTCAATCCTCAATAAAATCTCTGCTTAATTCAGTCACTTTGCTCAGAGTGTCTTTACTGGATCATCAGCTTCTCTGTTTCTCTTTGTTCCTCAAACACTTTCAGCTTATTGTGAGCAGCAGCTCTCACACACACTCAGCAAACACACACAAAGCTCCACCACAGCTGAGATTTCATTCAGTTCTCAGGAAGAACCTGTGATGACCTGTTGGTGAGGGGCACAGACCACTAGAGGGAGCTGTACTACATTACTGAGGAGATGCAGCTGAGTGGAGACTGAAGGTTTGATTTGAGAAAAGAAAAAGTTGCGTACATCATAAACAGCTGAATCTTAATCAATAACAATGTGACCAGCTGTAATCTTTCTGAGACTTCAGATTTATCTACAAATAAAAACCGCTCTGACTGATTTTCCCTGAAAATGTTAAAACGTTGCCTGAAATGTTCGACTTTTAGCCCCGAGTCATGTCTGCAGGTTCATTCAGCTCCAACATGAAGAACAGAGACAGTAACACGTCTGTTAAACCATTTTAACCTTTAACACAAACAAACACTAAAATCATATAAAATATCAAAAGGCCTGAAGGTCCCCACCCCTGCTTTAGAGTGACGATCGAAAGGTTTTCTCCAGTCGTGTCTTCTGGAGGAAGGAAGCCCATAAAATGCTCTTTACATAAGCTCTAACACCACTGCACGAACACTGCTGTGTCATTATACTTGATATAAAGCAGGGGTAGTATAAATACTCTTGTTTTTATTTGACCTACATTTCCTCTCTCCTGGTCCTTCATATTCATCACTGACTGGTCACCTGAATAAACTTTGATTGTTATTTGGTGTCAGTATCATATAATGCAGAATTATAATACATTATACATGACAACAGCAGCATATCCTCACATGTAATTATTCGTCTCTGCGCTATGATGTATGTTTTTCTTCCACATTATAAACATTTGAGGCCGTCTGAGCATTGAGTGTTCACGCTGTATGAAGGCTGCAGGTACAAATACACCAGTCAGCTCATGAAACATCCAAAACCTGGATTTTTAACCAGAGTGAGATCCACGAGTATCAATTATGACAACTGATGGGAAAAAGTACAGTAGTACACAGTGAAATGAGGTGACGTTCCTCCAAGACCAGGGCGCTACATATGACACACAATCAACACAGGACTACATAAAGTGCAAGTGTGTAGAAGTTGCAAAAAACAAAACAAAGACAGTGAAACACCAGACAGAACAGAAAATACAGACACAACAC